CGAGTATTGGTCTAGCAAATGTTTTGTATGCTCTGGTTAGTAGTGTGATATTACCAGACCAGAGAAAAAGCTACGTAGGATTAGGTTAACAACTCTTAATGCCTTTTTGGCTATGTAGTTGCAGTGGGCTCTAGCACTTAGATCATTAGAGGTAAGTATTCCAAGGTCCTTTACAGAGCTTGGGTCATCAACAAGTTCTTGACTATTCAGCTTGTATTTTATTTTCTGATTTTTTTTGCCAATATGTAAGACAGAGCATTTATTTGTTGAGATTTGAAGTTGCCATTTGTTTGACCAATCTGATACATAGTCAAGATCTTTTTGTAGGGTAGCAGTATTGTCTGTGGTATTGAACAGCTTTACATCATCAGCGAAGAGAACGCAATTGCTCTTAATATGATCACAGAGGTCGTTTATGTAGAGTATGAAGAGAGTTGGTCCTAGAACACTGCCTTGGGGGACACCACTATTGACAGGTACTGGATTTGATAGGACGCTCCCGATTTTGACCATTTGTTGTCTGTTTGCCATGAATGCTTCTATCCAGTTATTCAGTTGTCCAGAGATACCGTAGGATTTTATTTTTAGGAGTAGTTTGTCGTGTACCACTGAATCAAAGGCTTTACAGAAGTCTATGTAGATTGCGTCTATTGCTTTGCCCTGGTCGAGTTGTGTCGTCCATATGTTTTTGCAGTGTAAGAGTTGTAGATTACAGGATAGTTTTTTTCTGAAACCAAATTGTTTATTGGAGAGTAGGTTATTTGTCTCTAAGTAGAGGATGATGGATTGGTTAATAATTGATTCCATGACTTTACAGGTGACGCAGCATAAGGAGATTGGCCTGTAATTTTCAACTAGGCTTGGGTCTCCCTTTTTGAAGATGGGGATGACTGTGGCTTGTGACCATAGGTTAGGCAAGGAGCTGGTCCTGAAAGATTTTTCAAAGATTATGCTTAGAGATTTGGCTATGGCAGTGGATAGCTTTCTTAAGAAGTAGGCACATATTCCATCCGGTCCAATAGATAGAGATGGTTTTAGATTGCGTAGTGATTTTTCAACATTGTCTTCTGTGAAATCGATATGTATTAGATCATTATTGTTATCTGTGGTACGGCTAGGAAATACTGGGCATGATCCATTGCTGTTTACAAATACTGAGCCGAAGAATGTGTTAAAGATGTTGGCTTTAATGGTGTCGTCGTTGCAGTCTTTACCATCAGGTCCTATCAAGGGAGGGATGGACCTTGAGTCTTTTAGTTTGTTGTTTACAAAATTGTAAAAAGCACGGGTGGAATTGGTGCTTAGAAGGTTTTCCTCTTGTTTAATGTGATAATTGGTGCATTCGGTCTTTATCTGGTGGCATAAATTTTTGTATCGGTTTTTGAAATTGGCAACGTGACCAGATTTGTTTTTCCTCCAGAGTGATCTCTTTTTGGATTGAAGTTTCCTTATTGATATGGGTAATCTGCTTTTTTGTTTTGTTTTGGGAGTTGTTGTTGGTACATATAGTTTGATGACTCTTTTGACTTCAAGTAAAAATATGTTGTAATGGTCTTCAACAGTATTGCATCCAGTGAATAGAGATTGCCAATCCAGGGATGAGAGATCGTTGTCTATAAGATCATAGTTGCCTTTTTTGAAGTTACAATTGGGGATTACATCATTGTGGTGATTTTTGTGTGGACGTATGTTGAGACAAAAGTCAATCATATTGTGGTCACTACTGGAAAAGGGTTCTTTAGTTTGTATTCCGTAAATTAAATTCAAACTATTGCAGAAGATGAGATCGAGGCAGTTGTTTAGTCTAGTGTTGTTGGTTACTAGTTGTTCCAGTCCCAGATTTGTAATAGCATTGTAGAAGGTTGTGTGTATGATTTCAGTTGTACAATCATTTAGGGTCCAGTCAATATGAGGTAGATTGAAATCACCAAGAAAGACACCATTAAAGCCAACATCTTTAACACATTCTTCGGCTCAGTGTTTGTAAACAGTAATGGATCATGCCCAATGTTTCCTAGCCGTACCACAGACAACAATAATGATCTAATACATATCGATTTTACAGTAGACAACGTTGAAAAAGCACTACGCAACCTAAAACCATCTCTATCTATTGGACCGGATGGAATATGTGCCTACTTCTTAAGAAAACTATCCGCTGCCATAGCCAAACCTCTAAGCATAATCTTTGAAAGATCTTTCAGAACCAGCTCCTTGCCCAACCTATGGTTACAAGCCACAGTCATTCCCATCTTCAAAAAGGGAGACCCAAGCCTAGTTGAAAATTACAGACCAATCTCCTTATGCTGCGTCACCTGTAAAGTCATGGAATCAATTATTAACCAATCCATCATCCTCCATTTAGAGACAAACAACCTACTCTCCAATAAACAATTTGGTTTCAGAAAAAAACTATCCTGTAATCTGCAACTCTTACACTGCAAAAACATATGGACTACTCAACTCGACCAGGGCAAAGCAATAGACGCAATCTACATAGACTTCTGCAAAGCCTTTGATTCAGTGGTACACGACAAACTACTCCTAAAAATAAAATCTTATGGTATCTCTGGACAACTGAATAACTGGATAGAAGCATTCCTGTCAAACAGACAACAAATGGTCAAAATTGGGAACGCTCTATCAAATCCAGTACCTGTCAATAGTGGTGTTCCCCAAGGCAGTGTTCTAGGACCAACTCTCTTCATAATCTACATAAACGACCTTTGTGATCATATCAAGAGCAATTGCGTTCTCTTCGCTGATGATGTCAAGCTGTTCAATACCACAGACAATACTACTACCCTTCAAAAAGATCTAGACTATGTATCTGAATGGTCTAACATATGGCAACTCCAAATCTCAACAAATAAATGCTCTGTCTTACATATTGGTAAAAAAAATCAGAAAATAAAATACAAACTGAATAGTCAAGATCTTGTTGATGACCCAAGCTCTGTAAAGGACCTGGGAATACTCACCTCTAATGATCTAAGTGCTAGAGCTCACTGCAACTACATAGCCAAAAAGGCATTAAGAGTTGTTAACCTAATCCTACGTTGCTTTTTCTCTGGTAATATCTCACTACTAACCAGAGCATACAAAACATTTGCTAGACCAATACTCGAATACAGTTCATCAGTCTGGAATCCTTATCACGTATGTGATATTAACACAATTGAGAAAGTCCAGAAGTATTTCACAAGAAGAGTTCTCCACTCTTCTACCCGTTATAGAATACCTTACGCCACCAGACTCGAAATTCTAAAACTAGAAAACCTCGAATTACGCCGTCTTCGGTCCGACTTAAGCATGGTATATAAAATCATACATTGCAATGTCCTACCTGTCAATGAATACTTCAGCTTTAACCATAACAACACAAGAACACACAACAGATACAAACTCAAAGTAAACCGCACCAAACTTGATTGCAGGAAATACGACTTCAGCAATAGAGTGGTCAATGTCTGGAATACTCTACCCGACTCTGTAGTCTCTTCCCCAAACCCCAAAAACTTTAACCTTAGACTGTCTACTATTGACCTCACCCCTTTCCTAAGAGGTCTGTAGGGGGCGTGCATAAGCGCACCAACGTGCCTACCGTCCCTGTCCTATTGTTTCTCTTATTCTTTTATTTTTCTTATATGTACCCATTTCATATATTCACAACTATGTATACACTTGTACTTATTATCTTGTAAACAATTGACAAATCAAATAAATAAATAAATAAAAATAAATAAATATAAGGGTATGGGCAGGATGCAGCCCATGTTAGTAATGTATTTAGCTTGTTTACATGTTCGATGTCATAATCAGGTGCTCTGTAACACCACTTTTTTACCACTAGTGCTCATAAAAAAGCAAAATCTACCTGTCCCTAACTGGAAAGCAACAAAAATCTTTCAAAGATCCGAAATAATAAAGGAAATTACTTCAGGAAATGATGCATAGACAACTGCTAGAGACCGTTCAATTCTTGTTGTGTTTGAGAAAGAACACCAACTAGTCGGACTTCATCAACAAATGGATAAAAGTCACAATAGGCCATTTTATTGGCAGAGGCAGTCCTGAATTGGAGGGCAGAAGTGGAAATAGTGGAAAGGCAAAGCGCAGTAACAGAATTGCAGAATGTATGGTGGCCATACAGGTAGTCCTCAACTTACACCAGCTCACTTAGTGACCATTCAAAGTTACAATGGCACTGGAAAAAAGTGACTTACAACCATTTTTCATACGACCATTGCAGCGTCAATGGTCATGTGATCAAAATTCAGACATTTAGCAAATGGCTCGTATTTATGATGGTCGCAATGTCCTGGGGTTACAAGATCCCCTTTTACGACCTTCTGACAAGCTAAGTCAGTGGGGAAGTCAGATTTACTTAACAAACTGTGGCAAGAAACTGTTACTAGCTTAACACCCGCAGCAATTCACTCAACACCTGTGGCAAGAAAGGTCATAAAATGGGGCAAAGGCTCCTTTAACAACTGCCTCACTTAGCAACAGAAACGTTGGACTCAAGTGTGCTGGTCAATCGGGACTACCTTGTATTCTTTATTTTATTTTGAAAGAAGGGAAAGCTCAGTCGGAGCCAGTCAGGCTACTAGTGAAGCAAAGTGTGTATGCAGATTTCTCAGTCATCCAGGTCATGGTGGTCCCAAATGTGCTTTTTCACGAGGCAACTGGACTTTCTATTTTTTCTTTGAAGACATTTTGCTTCTCATCCAAGAAGCTTCTTCAGCTCTGACTGGTAGGGAATGGAAGGATTTATTCTATGCGAAGCAAAGTCTGCTTTGAACGAAGCAACCTCACTGGCGCGGAGGCAGGAGGCATACAGCATTCCCGCTCACGAGGCGGAGCACTAAAGAAATCTATAGGGCACCTGACAGGGAAAAGCCCGCCCTCCGCCCTCAGGAAAGCCGCATGAGCCGCCGAAGCCGAAGAGGCGGGCTTTCCCTCCCCGCCTTCTGCTCTTCACTCCGGGCTGGCGCTCGAGCCAGGGAAGAAGTGGCTCGACGCCTGGGCTTGCGGGGAATTTTGTTTTCGGCTCAGCCCCGGTGATTCCACCGACTATGGAAATTCCGCGGAGCTGCTGGCTAGCGCTTCTTCTCGCCACTGTCGTACCTGGCGTGCAGGTAAGGCTGCGCCGAGATGCGAGGGGAGGTGGGGGGGGGTCTTCCTCGCACCTCCTCGAGCGAGCTTCCCGCTGGGTTGATTTTATTCGGCGACCGTCCGTTTCGAAAGCTAAACCATACGCATATAGATCGCTTCCTTTTCTGACCTCTCTGTGCGTTTGTGATTGCGAGCGTGGGTCTTTCTTTACATTGATGAAGATCGATTATGTGCCGTCGGGTCGTTTTAGACTCCTAGCGATTGTATATAGATATTTTCCTTTCCGGGAACAGCCCGCCCCCCACGCCTCTGCCACACAGCAGATTGGGGGGGGGGTCTTTTATATTGGCACCAAGGATGGGCTGTACCTGTAAATGGTGCAAGTAACAGCGGGCTTAACGGTTCAGTTGTATTAATGCATTCACTTGGAATCCCAAAGGTGCTTTTTCCAGAGGCAACTGGACTTTCTGGTTTTTCTTTGAAGACGTTTCACTTCTTCTTGGATGAGAAGTGAAACCTCTTCAAAGACAAACCAAAAAATCCAGCTGCCTCTTGAAAAAGCGCCTTTGGAACAACCATGTATGACTTGAATGAGTGAGAATCTTCATAGACATTCACTTGGAATGCTCTCACTGAAATCCTGTCTTGTTTTTTGCATAGATCCTCAGTGGTGGGGTAGAAGTGGATAATTAATTGCCTTTCATTCCTAGTGACATTAATGGGGCTGAAAATAATAATTATAGTAATTATTAACTTTTCCCATTGATTCCAACCGATCTCTGCTAACTTGCTAACTTCATCTGCAATCAGTTCACTGTTGCATTGTATTAGTGCTGGTATCCTACACAAATATTTTGTGAAACAAGCTCTACTCGATAGTTGCACTACACTGTACTAAACGGTAATTTTGTCTTCAGTTCAGCCTCACATGTTGTGCAAACCTTGCCACAAGGGTTTGCCATCCATCACTTGTGGTTAAGCATGTTGTGCACATGAAAGCAATTGAGTATGTATTATTTAAGAAACTGTAGTTCAGCAAAGTATGTGAACCAGGCCACTAAGTTTAATGGAATTAATTTGAATGCACAAATTGGACCTTCTTCCAGTTATTGTAATGATAGATGAGTGTAGAAGTGGGGGTGGAGAGGAAGAAATCATTTCTTCTGGCTGGACTTCCTCTTTCTTCAGGTACACAGGGGGAATCAAGGATTAGAACTGAAATGAACAAACTAAGTACAGATATATTCCAGCAAATCAAAAGCCCTCTTCAGCAGGAACATATATTCTGCAAAGAATAGCATAATAAGCTTCAGAGATTTTTTTTAAAAAAGGAGCATTCTTTTTAATGTTTCCAATTTCCTTCAACTCTCATGGTAAAATCTCATGCTAGTATTCTTACTTCAGTAAATTTTGAAAAACAAGCCATTCCTTGCCATCTTTCTCAGGATATGTGCACCCAGTAAAGCTTTATAGTGGAAGATTAGAGTATTGTAGAATGTAGTTTGCATGTGCTGAAAAATAGTGTATTAGTATGCGTACAAAGCACAACTATCTGCTTACTGTACAGTACTCATGTTTGTGTTTTCAAACCTTCACTGGGAACAGATTGTATAGTTCACCCAGCGGTGGTTTTGACCTCTATCAGTCTTTAGGAACAGATTTCAAGCTGGAAAAATCTCTGGTTTTGTGGCTTTCACCACTTCCCTTGGGAAGCTACCCTGTAAATATATTCTGTATTTAAACATTAAGATGTTTTATATATATATATATGTATGGGTGCGTCTCTTGTTTCATTCCCACTGAGGTTTGACTCTATTATTCTCAGCTAAATTGCAATCTTTTTTTAAAAAAATGGTTTTTAAAAAAAAAATATTTTAAAATGTTCAAGAAGTTTGAGCTGCTTTGAGTTAAATGTGATAATCTTCAAGAAATTTTGAAGAAATCTATGTTATTCTTCTAGAAAGGTCAAGCATATACATTATTAAATGCTTTTGTGCTTCTTAAGTGTAGAATAAGTCAAATACAGTACATAGTAGTACTATACTCCTAGTATAGAATGTGCTATGGATGAGGAAGTAATTGTGTTCAATTTTACCTTATTAACATAGCCAATAACTATAAATCATATACAGCCACCTACTTGTAATATATCTTAGTAGTATTTCTTATCCTCCCAAGAATCAATACTGGACCAATATATATTGTTCTGGAAAGTCCATATAATGTGTATGAAGTGCTTTGAAGACTCAAGGATATGGCAGGGTTGGTGTTCCTTGAGCTGTGTGTTTTTCTTGCAGATATTTGCTTGCCGTTCTAGCTAACATTGACAGTATTTTGATGATGTTTTAATGATGTTTAGTAATGATAAGTCTACAAGAAGAAAAGCAAATTCAATAAATATCAAGATCCCGTTTCACTTTGGGACTCTTAAAAATTCATTATAATTAATATTCATTATAATTACACTGTTTTCTAAATATATTTGAAAGGCAAAGTATGATTCGGAGCATCTGTGAATGTGTTGAGAACATCGTAAACCCAAAACATTTTTTTCTGGGAATTGTGTGCCACCAGCAGAGGGCATGTACATGTGCCCAGGAAAAGATACAGCCACTTTAAATAAATCTGTTACCAGGTACATTCTGAGTTACATTTTGCCTTTTGAACCTGGATCTTTGTACACCTCTATTATTTTAATACAGAAGTCTCCAAACTTTTGGACTTCAACTCCCAGAATTTTCTAGCCAGCATAGCTGCCAAGTTTGGGGACCCTGTTTTAATACTTTGGGCTCCCCCTTATGTTAAAACCATCATCTCAAATAAGTCCTGTTTATTTTATTTTATCCATATATGAATTGAAAAGCCATAATTCAATTATTTTTATTCTGTATTCATTGGTATGTACCGGTATTATGCTATAATAATCTGTTTTCCATTTTACTTTATCATTGATTTATATTTAGTCTTTCCATATGCATAAACTACAGATATATAATAAGCATTCAATTTGTATGCGTTACTCTGTGTGTGTGTGTGTGAATAATGATATAATATTAATTAAGAATTGTGAAAGCTAATAAAGAAAACAATTAAAAGTCTAGAAAAGTTAGTAATTCATTAACCTGCAATGTGATTAATAATAGTTTGAAAGTGTTCTCCAGATTCAGAGTTCAGTGAACTACTAAATTGTACAAGTATTCTGTAATTATTAAGAGAAGACTTAACATTTAAAACTAAAATTATAAATCTGACACTTTCCATATTATTTCTGAAACTGTTGATTGAATCCATTAATGTGCAATCAAAATGCACCTTTTGCAATGGAGTTCATTCTTTTGGTAAAGCTTTAATATCTCCCCCCCCCCCACACACACACACAAATATGCAATATAGAATGGAACAATCCACAATAGAACATCGACATTAATCTATGGGTCTTTAGAGTGACAGAAAAGGATTCCAATCTTTTAAATTCCATTCCCCATACTGCATTAATCAAGCCTTACAATCAAGGTACAGTTAATGATAATATAATTAAGGCGCAATACTGTAGACGTAATTGTTGCAGTTGCATTGTGCCAAATAGCGAAAAACATGCAACAGCAGTTGTAATATCTGTGAGAGAAAGAGTAAAGAATGTGTAATAGAGTATGTCACTAAGCCCCATAACCTGTTCTCTTACACGTTAGTTCCAAGACCAGTCAGTGTTAGTTATCTTGGCTTTACAATTAACTGAGGTGAGATGACAAGCAGAAAAATCTTAATGAATATCTCCACATTATACTTTTTTGATTTCAAGGTCAAGGATGAAACATGAAGTACAATATGCTCCCCCCCTCCCCCCCCCCTTAGATTAAGAAGAGAAAACGACTGGAAATCCTAATCTTGTTGTTGTTTCCACAAATCATACTAGGTTTTGTGTGTGTTTTATTTTTGCATAATGCCTTGCCTCCTGATAATTAAGAGGGGAATGCATGAGGTAAGATTTATTTCTTTTATTTGTTTGATGTTGAATATATAAGGGCACCAAAATTTATGCCTTCCCGAAATGTTTTCGTATTAATTATTACAGTTGTATGTACTGTCAGCAATTTCAAGTCACTACTTCCTCCCTGAGTCTTACTAAATCTTAGGATTCAACCACATCCTGACAACAAGTTCCTCATTCTTTTTTATAGACAGATAGTATGAAGAACAATATTGTTATTCATTCCATGTGTTATAATTGCACTTTTGGAAAAGGGAAGGGAGAAAAAATACATTAATTCAAAAAGGTAAGCAAAGTCACATATTTTTTAAAAAAATCATAGTGCAAAAATGAAGGTACCAGTAAAGCAAAGCATGTGAAGAAATATTTTGTATTAATAATATTGTGGTATAGAATTATGTAAGGTTGATGTTTTTCTCTGGACTGGCTATTTTTTAAATGTAGATTAGACCTCTGTTGCCAACACAGTTTTAATGATGTAATAAATATATAACATAACAGAACTGTGAAGCTATTGCTCCTACTGCTATTAGCAGTATACGAATAATTAGCAATTTTTCTAAAATCGGAAAGCTTTTTTTTTTTTGAGAGAGCATTTAAAATATTTTTTTCATCCTGCACATAATAGTATAATGCACCAGTGGTTAGGGCACCAGGCTAGAAACCAAAGGACAGAGAGTTCTAGTCCTTCCTTAGGCACAAAGCCAGCTGGGTGGATAACCTTTGATTAAAAAAAGGTTAAAAACTAAACAACAGCAAACATGTAATATAGAATACCCAAATACTGAGTATTTACACAGAATACTCAAATATCGGGGGACAGTCATAACTCATATCCCTTCAATTTCTAAAAAGAAGAACATATTTTCAAACATTGAAGTTGTCCTGAAGCAACCAAGTGTTTGTTGCATTACAGAAAATTAACAGGAGTGGGGCATGTGTGATATTGGGTGAATCTGTTCCTGAGAATTGGTGCAGTAACTCTTGAGGCTTAACTATGGGATCCTTGCAGATGGCATTTCCAAAGAGTCAGAA